CCCCAAAACCCCAAAACCCCAAAACCCCAAAACCCCTACTTTATAAATCCTTATTGAATTAAAGAATTAATATGAGTACCACCCAACCTGAAGTAGATGTCAGCATGCAAGCTGACCAAGGAGAGAGTAGAGATAATCAATCCGAGTTGAAGGAAAATGAACTCAAACTAGCCCAGAGTGCTAAAGACAACCAAGAAGAATGGATTGATCACTGAAGAGAACTTGTAGCCGAGTATAGAAGACTCCTACAGAATTCGAAGAGCTCTTATTATAAAAAGGACGGTGATGTTGGATACTTGCTCAGTATGAAATGGCTCGACCACTGGAAGAAGTGCAACTACTATGATTCTCTCTATCGTAATCTTGTCCCTGACTTTGATGAAGACAAACCGACTGAAATCGGAGAGATTTCGAATGAATCTTTGCTGAGAGCCAAAGAAGAGTTCATTAATGATGTTGATCCTAATAGTTATTACAACTATATCTTGAGGAGAGACTTGAAGATGAACTATGACTATAAGCCTGTAGACGAGGATACATGGAATTTTTTCCACTCTAGATATGGAGGGACTACAGTAAAACGTTTTTACTATAAATCGTACTCATTTGGAGCTGATATTGAAGCTAAGTTGAAGGAATTTAAAATTGTAGTCCTGCCTTCTGCTGAGAACTGGGATATTAGCAATGTAAGCAAGTCGATGTCCATCTTCTCTAGCAAGCATGATACATTTGAAGCTTTCTTGGCAAGGATTGTGGAGAATCTAAATTCTGACCAATACGGATACAAATTGTGAAAGGATAAAATTCGACCGTGGAAACTCGCCTTTAATGGTAGTATTGAAAGAATCGTAAAAGAAGTCAAACAAAATCTAGATTCTAGGCCAACCCCTGTAGACCCAGAAGAGCCAGATACTGGTGACGATGAAGAAGAGAAGACTCAAGAAAACACAGGAATAAAGTTCCCTGGACCATGCTTAGATAGCATGAAGACGTTCACAATGGACGACTTAGAACTCTCTTCTAATGATACTCTTGTTATCGAAGTTGCTTCTGAGAAAACAGGAAAATTCATCTTTAAATATGAGAAGATCGTGATCCTTTGCTATGGGAAATGCGAATACTGTTACTCAAATAAGCCACTCATCTGTCAATGTAGGTGAGAAGAAGTAAAATATTGCTCAGATGAGTGTCTGAAGAAAGATGAGAGATTCCATATGGACAAATGTAATGCACCCATAGATATTGATCATGATGCTCCATTCCAAAAGAAAGATAGAGCTAGAAATGGACTCACAGGGCTGCAGAATCTTGGTAATACTTGATTTATGAATTCTTCCATTCAATGTTTGAGCAACACCTATATTCTCACGAAGTTTTTCTTGACTGAAAAATTCAAAGAAGATATTAATACCGATAATGTTCTCGGAACTGGAGGAAAACTTGCAATTCAATTTGCAAGATTGATGAATGAAATGTGGAACGATGAAGCACCAGTAGTCACTCCTTGGAGTTTCAAGAAAATTGTAGGCAGCTTCCAGCCAATGTTTAGCGGATTTGCTCAACATGACTCTGCAGAATTGCTCAGTTTTGTTCTTGACGGACTTCATGAAGATATGAACAGAGTGAAGAAGAAGCCATATTTTGAAATGCCAGATCTTCTTCCAGGAACTGCTGAACAAAAATGAGCTGAGCTAGCTTGGAAGTATCATCTTTTGAGAAATCAGTCAATAATTGTTGATATAATGCAAGCTCAATATAAATCCACTTTGACTTGTCCTAACTGTGCCAACATTAGTGTTACTTACGACCCTTATATGATGTTGTCTCTTCCAATCCCACAGAACGAAGTTTACACCGGTCTGTATTATTACTTGCCTTATGATTCAAAGGTTTGCCCAACGAAGTCTAGATTCTATCTCAAGAAGTCAAACACAATCATTGACTTGAGAAAGCAAATTGCAGAACAACTGAACATTGATCCATGGTCATTTGTGCTGCTTACCATTGAGAACAAGAGCCTTGATAGAATCTTCTGCAAGAATAGAACCATTGGCGAGCTATCTGAACAAGATGGAGGAGTCTTTGCTTGCCAAATTGATCCAGATGTATTCGAGAACTGTAAAGAACCTGAAGTGTACAAAAAGCTCAATCATTATATCAATTCTTCAGATTATGCTCTTGACATTGCCAATGATGATGACGATAACAATTCCATCTCGAGAGACTGGGTCAAAATACCTCTGAGACTCAGCATTATGGAGAAGCACAAGTATGCATACTATTCGAAGAAAAAGGCTGTATCATTCCCAAGATTGATCTGGATAAACAGGAATTGGGACATGGTCACAGTCCACAAGAAGGTATTCAACTACCTCAGGTTTTACTTTGACTTTGAGTTGGTTGAAGGTTTCAAAGACCTTAGTGAAGAGCAAGCCTTTGTCTCTATCTTTGATGGTCTCACTGAAGAAAATTGGGAAGATAAGTTAGGCTCAGGAGACGACCCAGGAGAATTCTCTTACTCTCTCCAAGTTGTGAATACTGAAAGCAGGAGCTATTTCAATAAAGGTTTAGATTTCTTTGGAAAGAATAACTTTGACAACATTCCTCTCCCTTATAGATCAACTGGAGATAAATTCGGAGAATATATTGACCAATTTTTTAAGGAATCACAAGAGAAGGACAAGGACAGCGACGATGACATGGACTATGGCTATTATGGATCCAAGAAAGAAGATAAATCTAATTCTGAAGATCAAGCTCCTCAAGTGATCAACAATTTCAATGACGGTTATTATGAAGAAGGAGGTTATAGAGGACAAAGCAATAGAAGAAAAACCTTTGAATTTGAGATCTTTTGGAACAAAGACAACTTGCAAGCTGCTATCCAAAAGCTGGATAGATGTAAAAAGCATGAAGACTTTACTGCCATTACTTACCAAGCCAACCAATGCAGCAGCGAAGATATTACTCTTCGTAGCTGATTTGAAAGCTTCCTGACTCCAGAAAAACTTGGCAAAGATAATGCTTGGTACTGCAGAAAATGTAAGGATCATGTTGAAGCCACAAAGAAGATGGAGCTTTATAGTTGTCCTAATATTCTTTTCGTTAGTCTAAAGAGATTCAAGTCAGGCAGAGGATCCTATTTCAAGGATAAGCTTGAAGATAAAGTTCTCTTCCCAATTGAAGAGCTTGATATTTCTGATATAATTCTATCAAACAAAAATGCTGATGGTACAAAGAAGCAAGATATTAAGTACGAATTGTATGCTGTCTCAAACCATTACGGAAATATGGGATTCGGGCATTATACAGCTTATGCTAAGAACCCACTTGATAATACATGGTATGACTTTGATGATTCGAGTGTGACAGAGATGAATAATCCTTCTCAAATAGTATCTGAAGCTGGCTACAATCTCTTTTACAAGAGAACTGATTTTAGCTTTGAGGGAGAAGTTGATTTTGAAGCAGTCAAGAATGTCTGCGATTTTGAAGAATTCAAATTGGAAGTAAGCCATTACCAAGTCCCTAAGAAGGAGAAGCCAGAGGAGACTAAAGACGCTGGAGATCAGGACATGGAAGTTTCATAATGATTAATTTGAAAAATTGGCCAAACTCAACCCGATTTTGAAGTCCCGGGGTTTTGGGGTTTTGGGGTTTTGGGGTTTTGGGGTTTTGGGGTTTTGGGG